TTAGAATTTTGCATTTCACCTAAATTTTTAATAAGAAAATAAATATTTAAGACAATGTTACAAAGGTAATTTAGGGAAAGAATTCTCCTAAGATCAACGAATTGAAGAGATAGCGATGACCGGATAGATTGTTACATAACTCTTGTATTTAATGAGAACGCGTTCATTTTTAATATAACATAATCATGGTCGAATGGTCGAGGCGATTAAAGCGCTCGTCCGCCTCTCAGGGAGACTAGATTCGAATCCGGGCAACCAACTCCAAGAAATTTTCATGGTAACTACTTATGACATATCGGGCTAAGAGCTTCCAGGTGATAAACACTTAACAGCCATGACAAAAAAGATCCTTTTACTGCACAGGCAGAAAAGATTAAATATTTGCAAAGATTGCAGAGGTTGCGGTCGACGTTTTCAACACGAAAACGTGTACATCGGACGTTCAGCGCCGCCATCCTGTAAGCCTAGAAGTTTGACAATGGCGTTTGGAACGTCGAGCATGATTCCACTGACGTTCCAAACGCCATTGTTAAACTTCCAGGCTTACAGGATGGCGGCGCTGAACGTCCGACGTACACGTATTCGCGTTGAAAACGTCGGCCGCAACCTCTCTATTGTCTTGACCCGAATGAAACGCGAAAGATGTTGTAAATAGGATTTATTTGATACCTAGAAGTTATCCAGTTCTCCCAAATAATTTAAAGAAGGAATTCTTATTATATTTGTCAACTTGGATATAAATTATTAATAGGACTGTTAAACTGGTGTTAAGTATTAACGCAAAATTGAGCAAAAGTTCTTAAAGAAAACAGTCCTATTAATAATTTATATCCAAGTTGACAAATATAATAAGAATTGAAATAAAAACAATCAGGCAATAATAATTAATATAAAGAAGGAATTCTTTCTACATAGGTAATTGCTATTAATAAATTACACGTCTTTAGCATGCCCAGAAGTGCGTCGTTTATCTGATAGTTTAACCTGTAATTTCTTTATTAGTAAACCCGACATAGGCCGTACGTAGCGCTAGCCATAAGGGAACAACAGTTTTTGAAAATTCTTTCCTCTGGGAATTAACAGACATTTTAGTAAGTTCATTATGAATTCGGCTAGGCCCAGAATAGTGCAACGGATGGTGAGAAACAGGACCATACATAACCTGACGACCATCCTGAAAAATTACTGAAGTTTTTGAACCCGTCCTAATTCGATCCTGAATCTATCAGAAGGGTAGGCTGCACCGTTAGCGCTCAGCCTGGTGATCGGATAGTTAGGGTGGTAGATTGATAGGTTGTAGATAAGCTAGCGTATAATAAAACAGTTCTTTGAGAAACAATTTGAATCGGAAATGATGACGTAAAATTACTACTTGTTTGTCTATATTTTACGTCATCATTTCCGATTTAAATTGTTTCTCTAAGAACTCTGCTAACTGATAAAAAAAATCGCATTATGTGCAGTACGACATAATAATTTCTTTGACTAAGATGCTAAATGACTTTTGTCATTTTTCTAAATGAGTTATTTAGAAAAATGACAAAACTAGAAGACGGGAGGATACGAAAACACGGCGTATAGTATACTAAATTTCCTTCCTTGACAAAATGTTATTGTTCTTTTGACTAATCCCATTTATTGAGAGTTGCATAGCTGAGAGGTTAAAATGTCAACCCACCGGTGAGAAAACTTCAAAAATGAAGAAAGTCCTCGAGTCATTAATCGAATGTGAAAGACATAAAACAGATTAAACTACCTTTTCAGTGTTTTGTCCGGGAACGAAGCGGAACGACCGAAGAAGCGACGCCAAAATCATTTTCATGACAAGAAAAGCGAATCTCATCCCGATGCAGTTCCTCGGTCCATTTCCAAAAGGTTGATAAGCATAAGGGTCGATCGAATCTTTCCGTTCTGGACTAAATCTATAAAGAATATTTCGGTGTTATCAATATAACCATCGTTGATTTCAATAACAATTCGTTTACCTGTCGGGATCGAAACTCTCGGGATCCTGCCAAATTTCCGGATCTCTATGACTCTTCCAGATAGCGTGTTGGAGGGCCAAGTCCTTAGGAATCGTCAAGTTTTTATAGGTGAAAGTTTTCCCTACTTTCCTCGTCGTAACTCTGCCCAAAAGGAAAATAGTTATGATTCTTAGGAAAACAAATAAAGAAAAGTCAACAAATCAGTCAAATTCACAACGAGATACGAGACGTTACTGAATTTCCACAAAACGTTTATATTACGAATAAAACATACATACAGTTACAACAGTTCACTAACAACAATTACAAGACGTCAGGTGTAACAAAGTTCAAGTACTTTTAATCCACGACAACAGGTCCGTCGAAAAGGACACCTTGCGACGAACTCCTTCCAACGTTAGTTACCGCACAGCGAGACGAAACAATCCTCTAGGCTAGCTTAGGCGAAGCTAGATGAACGTGAGTTCCCGTGATGTGTCCTAGGCGAACCAAACTTCCCGCCTAAACTCAATCCTTTTATACGGATTGAGAGAAATAGAATTCCACCAATCAGCGCTTAGTAGCGCTATAAGACGTCCGCTGGTCATACGATGTCTTCCAGATAATCCGCGGTTGAGTTTCCAAAGTCGCCAGATTGGCTTTCCCATGGTGACAACCGTCGTTCGTTTGAAAAGACGGAAAAGCGCGGGAAGTCGTATTGTTGGACGATTTTATCCCGACAAAATCTATCATTTTCGTTAAAATAGACACCACAATCTTATTTCGAAAGCAAACATTTTGCAAAAAAATTCTGGCAAGAAAGTTGGTGCTTAATTATCCTTCCACTTTCATGCTAAGAAAAACTGCGTCGATCTCTTAACAACGTTTCTGTTAGATTAAAAAAAAAAAAAAAAACAAGAATGCCGGTTTTTAAACTCTTTTCGTCCTGTGAGCATTAGCCTTCTTAGGCGTTTTTAGCTAGCTCATTATGGATTTTGCCAAGCCGTCAGTGGGCGCCAGATGGTGAGAAACTGGGTACAACATATCCGGACAAATCATTCGGATTCGATCCGGGTCCCCCAGAGCAGCATGCTACCATCTTAACCACCCGGCCAGTCAAATAGGCAGTCAAATAGGAATGACGTTAAAACTAGCGTGTTTTTTCAGAAGTTCACAAGTTCTTGATTATTTGCGAAAGTAAAACGATGCAATAGCTCGGATGGGCTATTTTTGAAAACCCAATTTTCTGACATTATAAAGTAGGTAGTATATTCTGCAGTATAATTACTTACTCTAACCTAATGTGAAATTCTGGACACCACCTCCTTAATCAATTGCAATTTTGTGTCAAATACATAAATGTTAGAAATAATATTTCTGATTTTAAATGAAAAGTTTTAATGTTGAAAACGAAGGAAACTGGCAAAATTCACTTCCTTCTCAACGGAAGTTCGACATCCTTTTTGTTTTCCCTTATCTTCATAAATTTTGAGTCACATACAGTCCCCTCTGTAAACCCCCACTCTTCCTAAACACGTGGTAATAATACCATTCTCTCATTGGAGAAAAACATCAAAAAAGGGGATTCTTGAGTATCATTCAGGGAGTACGCCACGAAATTCCATAGGAGAAGGACGTATTCCATACCCGCTCCTCACGGCCAACGCCCGTATTGGACTCCCGTAGTTCATACAAAGTTTGTTATAAAGTTTCTAAATAGAAGAAAATGTTTATTGAAGTGCCGGAGAATTAACCAAAGATACGAACATTCACCCAAAATCTAAATAAGAAGAATATATTTTGAAGTAGTATGATTTTAACTGGAATTGTGATCTCTCTCTCCGCAATAGTATAAATAGATATATTTGAAGGTCCACGTTGTATATTTTTCTTTTGTTTATTAAATATTGGATATTTTTATCTTTAATTAAAGTCTCGTTATGTCTGAATTAAAATATTAATCCTCTCCATACTGATTCGTAAACGCGTGTTAATCCGCGTGTAACAAAAGTGATTAACTGGTGTCTAGGATCCTGACGCGATCTAGAACTACCTTCTAGATCTTTAACAATTTATAAAAAACCCTCCTTAAAAGTAGTGAGCCAATCTAGCGATTGTGTGTCAGTAAGTGACATAGGACAAAATTCTATGCCCTGATTTCTCACACTAATTACTTTTAAAATATTTTTAAAACCGCTAAAACGAATTACTGCATGTTATCTTCTGAATGCTTAACATCATTACCATTAAACTTTCTGTCAGGAAAGTATCCTACAAAGAATTGAAGAAAAGCATGAGCGTTGCATATTTTTTTATATTTAATGACCCGAAAATTTATTGCAAAAATATTTATATTTCTGATGAGTCTGAAACAGTTTTACAACCAGTAATGGTTAAAAACCACAATAAACACTGGCATTATTTTGAATCCTTGCGAAAAATTTTCTTGGACACCCATTAATGTATTAAAATTGAAAATCCTAACTTTTCTTCAGTATTCTTTCTGTGAGATCCAGCCTGGGATACAGGGTAATTTGTTGCGCCTGTATCACTTAATAGGCGATCTAGTTCGTGAAACTAGTCTCGGTCGTCTACAAGAACGGCCTTTCCCAAACTTAGGGAAACGAGTGTGGAGGGTCTTACAGTTAATATTTTAAGCGGAAATTAGGAATGGCAAATTTTCCTTCTTCCTTATGTCAGGGTCCCGACACCAGTTTATCTACTTTGCGTAACGCGGATAAACACGCGTGAAATTTATGTCGTAGATCTGATTCAGGAAATAATAATACAGAGACATCTCTTAACAAAGTATATAGAATTTAATAAAGAAATAAACAATATTAATACAGAATAAGAAATAATCAGTAAATTCAAACGGTCAATCAAAGAACGAATAATCATATCAATCGCAACAGGGGGAAATCTATTCTTAGTCTGTAACCCTTTCGAGAGAGAAATGTATTCTCAAACTATACATTTATGAGAGAGAGAGCTCACAATTTAGTGTTAAACATACAATCTGTTTACTTGGCAGAGTCGTCTTTTTATTCGGTGAAGGAACTTCATTGATAACTTAGGATTAACTTGTTAGGGGATGACGATGCGTTGGTCTGCTGGCATATGTACGGAGTCCTTTCATTCTCCGATCTACGGTCGAACTCTTAAGGCGTTGGCCTTAGAGAACAATTGAATGGAGTCTTGTCACTTTCAGAACTCCTAAGGGCGATGTGGAGCCAATATGGGAGACGTCTCTCCTCTATGAGATTTTCTGACGAACTCCCCGAATTCGGTTGAACTTCGCATATATCTTCTGATTTACGACCAATTATCAGTCGAGGCTTTATCCACGTGGACGGATGGGAAGGGGTAGAAATGAGGGGTAGATAGTTCCCATCGAAGCGAGATTTTTAGCAGAAAAGGGAAAATCAGAGGATGCTCATGCTTCCGTCAAAGGAAGTGACTCTCCTAGCTGTTTTCCCACGCTAGAAAAACGATATTTTTCCATCCAAATGAAGAATATTTTTTGGGAAAGATTTTACTTTCCTTTTAAATTATTATTTTAGACCCGGGGGCTATTCGGATCTCACATTTCTTATATAACAACAAAATAAATTTTCATATAATATTAAAAAATTATTGTCATTATTTTACGGCACTTAAAAATATACTAATATAAATTGTTAAAAACAGTCCGGATAGTAATAAATAGCTACGATTCTTTCACTAAAGGAAAAAATTCTTCAGAAGATGACGCTGTAATATAAAGTACTCCATGTACTAAAAACATGACCTTAGATGCGAGAAAGCTGAGGAAATAACGCAAACTTACGTTAAAACGGGAGGATACAATCGAAGCGATTCCGAAATGATTTGGTTCAAATATTGCATCTTGGACACGGCGGAGTAACTCGGTTCCTAAACGAAAAAAGACATCATTCTTAAATGCTGCAATTCATCCATCAGCAATTACAAGACGAATATTTAATTTTAAAAATATTCACGACTACTATATTAATGTAGTGCGAGAATTCATTTGCATTGTATTAATTAACTAAGGTAGATTTGTCGACTCAAACGTTGATCTCCGAACACATTTCTCTCCGATAATCTATCATCGCTTTAACACAATAAAATTTCGCAGAATTTCATGTTAAATCTATGAAAATGTTCAAATTGATGAAGTATGAGCGTAAGATTATTCGAAATGAAACGATGAAGTCTTTCCTTTTCTATAATAGTGCTGCTTAGAAAGCCCGAAACACATACGTTTGTCGTTTAAATATTTTATTTTTTCCTACATTGCTTATTTCTATGAGTAAAATAATTAAATTCGATTTTTTTTTAAATTTTACCTCATTTTCGAGAACAGCATTAATTTCTTCCCTTACTTTTTCTTGTATTTTCGGATAATTCATCAATAAATGTGTGACGAAGGAAAGGGTGGTGCCCGTTGTTTCGTACCTGAAAATAAAGATCCCATACCAATTTATAACAAAAGAAAAGTTTTTATGTTATTCTGATAATTATAGTAAATTAATAAATGATACGCACAAATATATAAATTATTTTTATGCAAAGAAACAAATAGCTGTGGTTGCCCATGCAGTGACTCAGTGTTGTTTTACTATATATTTCATAGCTATATGGCCGTAACCACAACATTTGTAGAAGCTTGTGAGAGGAATGTAGTCATCTAATGCTATCGTTGCCCATTGCAAACTAACATACTGCTGTTGAATTAACGTGTAACTGATACTAGGAGTTACCTGAAGGACAACGCGTAATCTAGAAATGTCTGTTGTGTTGCGGTTTATTTTTGTTAGAACACAGCAAGAGTCTTGAAATTCCTGGAGAATGTGTATAGTATTTCCTGCAGTGTTCTGAATGTGGAGTTCCTCTACGAAGGTGCTGGTGACAGCGTCGCCCAGGATATTTAACAGCAGCCAAACATTCTGAATGCGAATTCTCATTTCTAACCTTGTGTTTTTACTGAGTTTATGGCAGCCACCATTTTGTTGCTGTCACACTTTCCATTTAACTGAATGCAAACTCCATTATTCCTAATTTTCCTGAGTGCTTAGATTTAACTGAGATTCCTAACTGACTAGGTTTTATTTCGTAGTGAGTGTTTGTCTTATTTTGCCTGAGTGATATTAATGTTTTCTTTTGGAAAAACAAGAACCGCGAATGTGCCAGCACTGGACTGTGTGTTTTTGGACTGTTTTCTGTATAATTTTGGTGTTTTTTGTGTTAGCCCTTGCATCAACACCAGCGTAGGAGGAGGGAGGTTGGTAAATTAGTCAGAAATAGTGTTTTTTACAGTGTTCAATATTTTATTGACTTTGGTATAAATGAGAGAGCTAACCTTCTCGGAAACCTCCGATACCTCCTGTTGAATACGTCAGACACTATCAGCTAAGGATTGCGAAACTGCTTCACTAATTAAACTATTCAACATATCACAATCATTGTTGGGACGAATCGATGCTCGGGTAGTTTCATCTGCTAGCAAGAAAAGATCATTTGCAGCTTCACGAATTTTTTGTCCTGTTCACTTTCCTAACAGCCAGGCTGCATTCTTCTAAACAGTACATATATACACGATTGAAAGATATATATATATATATATTATACGATATATACATCATTCAATCAGTTAATCTATTTTTGTAATATGTATATATATATACCTGAATGACGTGCATATATTCGTATAATATATATATATATATACACCTCAATCGTGTATATATTTGTGTAATATATATACAGTGGAATCTCTCTTAACGAGCATAATTCGTTGCAGAATCTTACTGGTATTGCAAAACACTCATTAAGCAAAACAATTTTTTCCATATAAATACAGTAGAGCGTTGGTTATCCGAAAGCATTCCACCTCAATCGTGTATATATTTGTGTAATATATATACAGTGGAATCTCTCTTAACGAGCATAATTCGTTGTAGAATCTTACTGGTATTGCAAAACACTCATTAAGCAAAACAATTTTTTCCATATAAATACAGTAGAGCGTCGGTTATCCGAAAGCATTCCAGTCGGCAAATTTAAATTTTCGCTAGTGCTGTGGCGCTGCAATCTTTGGCTATATCTTGGGCTACTCCAATATTTTTTTTGTTGATGTGTGTTTTAGCTGGCAGCACTGGCACTTTTGTGTGGTGTTTTTCTGAGGATTGTGTGTAGTGCTGAATCGAACGTTTTTGATACTAGATTAACTTAAGTATAATTTTTTTTGTTTTTATATTTTTCAATATACAGTATTTATTTTGTTTGTAAAAAATAAAGAAATACTTTTTAACGATAAAATAGCCACGAATATTATTTTAAAAAGTTTACATTAGGCTTAACATCGACGAAAATTCAAAGCGAAGCGACACGCAACGGAGAAAAATTTCAACATGGGATAGGTTAATATATTTTTTCGTACAAATCGGTTATTCGAACAATAAGTTATCCGAACAACCCCAGTCCCCAATTGATTCGGATAAACGACGCTCTACTGTAAATGTAAAATACGATAATGCGTTCAACGCCAACAAAAATACTCAAATATTTTATCTATAACGTGTATTCAAAGAAAATTATACTGTATTTAATTATAGCCTTTACACAGCCCAAGAGTTTGGCATATTGTTTGGCGTCTTTATTTTATAACTGGCTATGGTTGTTGATGTTTATATGTAATATGTCTGAACACAAGTTTGGAAAAATGTGTGATCACAAGCGACACATAGGGTCGAGTTAAAAATTGTGTAACGTAACCGTATGGAATAAATAATTAGTATTAGATCAGGTGATGATTTTGCACATTCTCACGATGGACTGCTTCATAAGCCGTAAAAAAGTTTGTTCGTTAAAGAATTAGGAAACATCCTTAAGGTATTTTATAACTATTGTTATAGATATCCAGTGTAGCTAACATTTACGAATATAGATCGGTTACGTTACAGAGTTTATAACTCGACCCTAAGATGCTAGTGGAATGAGTGCTAAACACAGACTGATGGAGCATGCGCACAATCTGGGACTTTCTTTCTTTTTGTCACTCGTTATGCAAAACGTCGCTCGTTAAGCGAGTCATTTTTCACAATTTGTTTTGTTCGTTATGCTAAATACTGGTATGCGAGGTGCTCGTTAAGCGAGGTTCTACGCTTAACCTCGCTTAACGAGGTTAAGCGAGGTTCTANTATGTGTATATATATATATATATATATATACAGTAGTCCTTCCTATAAAACGGGTTCATATAATGCAATTCGTATATAGCGGCGAAAAAATTGCGACCGTATTCGTATAAAGACGCTAAAAGAAACTCGTAAAATATGGTAGAAAGTCATCGCCGACTCGTGTCGCGACAGGATTGGTCGAATCTAAACCAATAGCGAATATTGCACAAACCGTTGAGTTTAAACGAGCAGCGGACCTATTGAAAACAATTTATTATTTAACGGCCATAAAAATTATACAAGGTATTTATATTAATGATGTCTCCAAAGTTCGGCAAATTTTTTGCAGAAAAATAATTTATGAGGAAACACGGGCCCGCCGTTCGCTGCGCCGCTCCACGACGAAAACAAGCTTAAGCAATGGCATCATTGAACGGTGCACATTCGGTAAGTAATCGTACAATTTTTTGTTTATAGCATAGTTTATATGAATTATTCCCAAAAAATTATACGTATTTTGGAAATATTGAGTGAAATTAGTCTAGAATCGATTAATTTTATGGAAGAAAACCTTTCAAACAGCCGTAGTCCGTAAACTGCATACGTGCCGGGCTGTGATTGGCTCATGTATGTAAGGACGCGTACAACATGAATTTCATAAAAAGTGGAACGTATCTACCGTGTTATAGGGGGTCGACTGTATATCCCTGAATAACGTGATATTCGTGTAATACACATATCCGGCATTAGATTCGCTGTTAGGCGAGAAGTTGGTTTATCTATTTGTTATCTATTAGTAGGTGGTTTTCCTGTATTGAAGCATTTTTGTAACTTTTTTCTACTGTTCTGTCAAAAAAATCTTATTCTTAATTACATTTTTTAATTTTATATCATGTATGAAGAAAGAAAAAGTGTATTTGGTTAATAACAAAAGTTAATAACATGATGATTTTAAATTACAGATGAGGATGTGAATAAATCGTAAATAAATTTGCATTTTATTGTTTTGTTTTATTACATATGTATGACAATATAATTAGGAAAACCATAGCTCATCCTCTGATACATTTAAATAGGCATAGAAATTTAATCCAGATAAAGACAAACTATTTTTAAAATAATTTATTAACTTTAACACCACATAAAGTGTGCTATACAATTTTACTTGAATTAGTATAGTGAGAAATAGTATTTGGGATGAAATAGTTTTATATTTTTGACATGAGAAATTACAATTCTTATGACACTCACATTGACTCTACATAGTTTGGTAATTTATAGAATATTCTTCACTATCAAAAGTAGAATATCAATGAAGATTTATTGATGAGATACAACACCTCTCCTTTGTTTATATAGGCTTAAAGCATCACTAATATGTCTTTCTTTTAGACTCCATGTCATCACTAATCGCTGTCAATATCTAATAATATTGTCTGAACTTTTGCCATCCTACATTTATCTATTTTACTTGTCAACCTCTAACTTATCATCCTCTAATAATTTTTAAGTTATCATGTGCCTGTAAATATGTTGTCTAAATAGTTGAAGTTTACTTGTTTTCCTCTAACAGAGTATATTTGAAATTCAAGAACTAAATTTACTGATTTTTAATCTCCCTGTAACTTGTTCCTAACTTTTTTTTGGCTCAACTTTAATCTCTCTCTATCTCATTCAATTAATAAACGTAATATAAATTGTGAATATCATAGCTTTTTTCTCACTGAAAACTAAATAATTCACCTAATAAAAAAAGATATGGGCTTAACCTTGATAAACTCCAAAGTCACCATAAATCCTAAATCTCTTTTTCTGTAACACTTTAGATTAGGTCCCCAAACTTTTTATCCCATTGACCCCTTTATAGAATATTTGCCTTCTTGTCGACCCCCAGATTAAGTATTTTACAAAACATTAAATAATTTTTTGCGTTTCTGATATTAAGCAATAAGGANGTTGCATTAGCTAACGTTCAGAACGCGTTACGGCTTTTCTTATCTCTGCAACGCGTAGTGGTCAAATATTAAGAAAGCCATTGCAGCAATTTCGCTTTGTGGATGATTTAGAGAGACCCAATCCGTTGTGGACGTTTTTTTCGCTCAATGTGCTTTTTCGTTCTTAGAGCCTAACATATCTAATACAAAATAAATTTCATTATAATTAAATAATTGTTTTTACCTATCTACAATAAATAATATGGGCGCAGTGATTATGTTTAGTTGAAAAAGGGCATTCATAATCCACAGGTGACTAATCATCTGCAAGAAACATAACATATTTTACGTCGTCTGAAGGAAGAATGTAAACTTTCGATTAAACCTAAATGTTAATTACAGTAAGACCAATATTTTCAAAATTAAATATATGTAATATCGATTTCCACCAATATAGCTCAACAATCTTTACACTATTATCGAAACTATGCCAATGGGGACCATCTACAATAATTGGTAGTATAACTGCAATTGCCAAAATACAAAGAGCAGGAAAAGTTAATCTGAAATATGAAAAAATATATATTTATAAATAATAAAATTTACTTTCCACCTGTAAAATAAATGTATATAATTCAAAAGTATTTTCAAACCTGACGTATCTTTTTACAAGAAAAACAATGTAGTACAGTTTACAATATCTGACGTTATTCTTTCGTAGATAAGTTGTTAGAAATGCACTACGTAATAAATATAAAAAGGTTTTAATGGAAAACATATTGCATCTTACATGCAATAGGATTAAAAATCAAAAAATAATATAATATCGTTTTAATTTAAAAAGAAATTTAC